GAAGTTTGGCAGTGTGTGACGTCAAATCATATGTTGTACATTTTTTTATCTGTCCCGTATTTCGTCACGTAATAGACATGCTTTAAATGTGAAAGAAAACAAAAAATGTACATTGGATGTATAAAATCGTCATGATATAATGCGATAATTAAATACACTCACTGAATTTATATATCTTGTAATGACTAAAGTGTTCAATTCGCCTTTCAAACAGGAGATTCGGGACAGCCACTTATTTGTTATGGTTGCAGTGTTTCTATGCATTGATGCTGTGATCTTGGCTTTGTGGCAGATATTTGATCCTCTGAATGCCGTTACTACTGATACCGACGAAGTGGTGAGTAGTACATCAGCACTGAATATCCATTATTATTTGACCGACATTAAAGCATGCTAAAACTATCGACTGTAAACACAGATATGATTAAAAGCCAGTGTTTCAGTGTGATGATTTTCATCAATAGTTATATGTGATTTCTAACTGTTTTTTTTTTCTTCAGGAGACTATGAACGTGGTTACACAATACCGTCTATTGTACTGCGACTCTAACTATCGCTTCTACTGGATGGGCGCCATCTACGTCGCAAAAGGGTTACAACTGGTATTTGGTTGTTTTTTATCCTATGAGACGAGAAACGTCTCGATACAAGGATTAAACGATTCTCGGTATGAGTTCACTTTTATCAACAAGTTGGTTTGGTACATTTCTGATCTTTGCAGTGTAGTATATTTAAAATAGAAACACATTAACACAAACCCATTGATGGTAGCATATGTATATACTTAAGGAGTAAAAACAGAAGTTTTTTCTTTCAACGTCACTGATGCAGAGAAACTGCATTGTTATGCTTCTTACTATGTGGTATATATTTTTCATCCCATTTGATATGCCAATGCCTGTAGTATAAATGGCTCCAGTCACTTTGACTACTACAAATGTATTAAACTTTAAAGTTTGATCTATGCTAGTTTCATTGTTAATTGTCTACGGCAATGCTCACATGTACATCTATTATTTCCAGGTACATTGGTTTGTCTGTTTATAACGTGAGTCGTGCTGTGCATAATGGGAGTCACAGTTTCATTCGCCTTGCAAAACCG